ATTAATGAAGCCTGAAAGCAACACTTTTGCTCTTTAATTAATCTTCCAGTAAGTCAGGAAGTTTCAGCTTTTAAAGGTGAGTATACAAGGAACATACACAATTGGAAAAGACTCATTAATAGAATATAAACCCCTAGGAAAACTGAAGGCATGCATAAGGTATAACATTCAATTAAAACACAGATGATCTGCTATGAAAGGTTAAGTGTTTCTGCTTATGGAGAAAACGTCTTTACAAAGTAACTAGTCTAAGTGGGACAGTTACTTCTAAGGAGCATTGGTATACTGTAGCATACACAGCAGAAGAAAAATCCCCAAGGAAGTTGCAGTTTTGTTACCAAGTACACACCACCACAAAGGCAGATTTCCAAAACTAACACACAAACATTTGGTTCTTATCTCTCCAGAGGTGCACAAGTCAGTAGCTAACATGTAAGAGGGCTAGAAGGATGCCAGAGAGGGACACTTCATCAGGGACTGTAGTGATCAGACCAGGGGTGATGGGTTCAAACTTAAACAGGGGAGATTTAGGTTAGATATAAGGAAGAAATTTTTCCCTGTGAGGGTGCTGAGGTGCTGGTACAAGGTGCCCAGAGAAGCTGTGGCTGCCCCATCCCTGGCAGTGTTCAAGGCCAGGTTGGACAGGGCTTGGAGCAACCTGGTCTTGTGGAAGGTGTCCCTGCCTGTCGGAACTGCATGCGCTGGAACTGGATGATCTCAAGGTCCTTTCAAACCCAAATCATGTATGACTCTGTGTAGGAAATATGCTAATAGCTTATATTATGGCTAAGGACCCATAAACATGGCAACTAGCTTCATCCAAAGATGACGGTAACACTCCCAGGTTTTTCTGCCCACTTTCTACGGGAAAATGTCTAAGCCACTCCAGGTAACATTTCCCTCAACAGGAACCATCTTATTGGAAAAAAGAAAGGAGTCAGTACACCACTATATGCAACCATAAGCCATGACACTTAAAAGTGTTTCTATTCTATTACTCATGCAACAATCACATCTTCACACAGCACATACGGCATCCTGAGTGGCTCAGGATGTAGGATCAGGCCATCATTTGAGTAATTAATGAAACGAGTCAGCAGTATTATAACTAATTATCACTTTCTGGGCTGCTCTTAGATGTCAAGATTAGCATTCCATTGACAGGAATGACAGACGTTCACTTGACTTTTCAAAATACCCACCAGCTATTTGCAGACTCTGGCATTCACCAGAAACACCTCCAAAAGATTTTCTTTAAAGTCATCGTGGTTCAGTGTTTGAAAGATTCCATTAAAAATTCAGAGAAATTTAAATAGTCCATCTCCCATTAAATGCATTTATTTAGCTAAACAGGTGAGCCCTCAGTACAAAACTAAATCCCATCTTTGCCTACTTGATCTTGCAGGAGTAACTGTGTTCTGCCAAAAGCAGCTTCACTGGAGCCCCTGCAGCTTTCCTGTGGGACTTCAGCATTGGATGTAACAGCACAAGACAAAATCTATCCATGCAATTAAAGGGTTACTACTCAAGTAACAGACAACTTGCATGCTCAAAGCAATGCTCAGGGAGGAGGCAGCAGGAAGTTGCCTTAGGAAGTTTCAACTGCTCTTAGCTTTAGATTGTCCTTCTACCCACTCCAAAAAAAAAAAAAAAAGGAATTTTTTTAATGGATATAAGCAGTATCCCTTCAAAAATCATTTATCTTCCCAGGGTATAAGTCCTGCAATACCTTTTCAGGTGCGTCCGGTCCCCACTGTCAGAGCTTGCTACAGAAGATGTGTCATAGGAGTGTGTATCTGTGTTATCAATGTTCAAGAGAAAGGGATCCTCCAAAATGAAAGACTCTTCTTCATCATCAGTCTGAAGGAAGAGAATCAACGCAGCTTATTACACATTCAAAATACAAAACACCCAAACTGGAACATTAGCAAAACAGCATCAAGTTAAGCAGAAAACTCGAGGAGATGACAAGATAGTCTTACATGTAAAGAACAGAACTACGCATTATTTTAAGAGACCAATTCTGTCCAAAAAATGGTTTCCAGAATTCACAATAAACACAGAAGTGGACTGGAGAGTCAGTCAACTGATCTTTCTTCACCAGATATTATCTACTCCATCAGAACTTCAACTGACCTTTAACTAAGCTGTTCTCGAAAGTCTCCAATTGCAGAGAGAAGGCCTAGAATTATCATCATCTGCTCCAGCTCTTCACCAAGTGGTGGCTAAGAGTCTAGCAATCCCTCTGGCTGATATGAGGGTTGATTTTGCTCTCCTCTGTGCTCTTGCTGGTGATAACCTTCCCTCTTTCTCTCTCAGGCTTAGCCTGAAATTTTTTTGGACAGTATGTTTTAAACAACCATTCTCCCTGATGTCTTCAAATTCCATACAGTTCACATTGCTCTCAAAGCACAGAGCCAAAGAGAACAGCCCCACCTAATGCTAAATGTACAGGGAATAGAGCAGGTACACCCCAGTTGTCTTACAGCTGGCAGTCCTGTGCCCATTAAAGTGCTCCTTTTTCCAGCGTAGCTGTATACCTTTTTGGCTCAGTCTCCACTAAAACCCTTTCTGGAAGGTGCTCTGCCAGTTATTCCATCCCGTATGTACTGAGATAAATAGCAGTGAAGTCAGACTTTGGATTTGTTTGCACTGAACTACACTTTCTTTGTGATTTCCTCTCAAGTTCAAGATTTGGATTCTACTCCTCTGCATTGCCTTACAGTTTGGTAATACCCAAATCCAGTAAGTTCCTTCTGCCTTCATCATCCAAGGCATCTGTGGGAACAGGACATATCTCTGTACACTGCTGCTTCTACTATTCTTCTCATTCCCAGACTGTATCTCCTTGGGACTCCTTACACATGCATCTTTAATACAGCTTTTAAAAAGCCCTGTCACTTCACCCAGGCTTCTTTTCCCTTATACTGGGTTCCTAGGAGGTCCAACCACAATTTCTTCAGTTTGCTAAAACACTTGTTTTCTTAAAAATTTATCTTTACTTCCATGCCCTTCTTTTTATTTGTAAGGATCATGTACTCATGTTGCTATTGTAAAAGAAGTACTGAATGGGGATATAAACAAGACAGAATCGGCTCTCCTCTGCAAGGTACTACAATAGCCAACATCAGATGTTGAGACAGTTCGGAGGGCTACATACACGAAATTTACAATATAAATGGAGTTGTGAAGAACCCAGCTCTCATCTCCTCTCACAATTTAAGAACTACCCAAAAATCTCTGCATTTATTTCTAGCCAAAAAGAAAAAAAGTTGCTTGATGACCCTGACCTTTAATGGACTTTAATAGTCTTTAGGTGACTGTCCAAAGCCACAGGTTAACATGTTAAATTTGATGAAAACACTTTATATATACCTAACCAGGGGGTACAAGAAACTTGGAGAGGGGCTTCTGACAAGGGCCTGTACGGACAGGACAGGGGGAATGGCTTTAACCTGACAGAGGGGAGATTGACATGAGGCATTAGGAAAAAATTTTTCCCTGTGAGGGTGCTGAGGTGCTGGCACAAGTTGCCCAGAGAAGCTGTGGCTGCCCCATCCCTGGCAGTGTTCAAGGCAAGGTTGGACAGGGCTTGGAGCAACCTGGCCTAGTGGAAGGTGTCCCTGCCCATGGCAGGGGGTTGGAACTGGATGAACTTTCAGATTCCTTCCAGCACAAACCATTGCCTGATTCTATGTTTCAGCAGTAGATATTTTGATTAAAAAAACCCACTCCAAACATATTACAAACTGTACAGCAATCAGTTAACTGAGCACATGTTTTGTCAGGTATCAGGAAATTAGTAAGTTATACAGTTTTATTTCCCACAAAAACACAACATGAGAAGAGCCACAGGAGTACGTGCTGCCTCATCTTAGCTCCTCCCTGTCTTGGAGCCGGTTGCATGTCCAATGGATCACTCACCTCGTTCAAGATGCTCTCCAGTGTTGGAGGGGTATCAACTTGAGGAATGTCGAATTCTTTATCATCAATCTGTACATCAGAAACCACAGACCGAGTTTAAATTGCCTACTCCAATTTCCAAACTAATTTCTAACTAAAGAAAAACAAACCCAAAAAGCAGCTATGTATGCACTCCTTCCAACCAGAGTCTGCCCAGAAAGGCAGTATACACACTGCAGTTTCTCCTATTAGAAATGCAGTCTCTGAAACCTGGCATTGCAGGACTGAACAAGAAGTATTTAGCATCTGAAATAGAAAATAGTTATATAGTGGCCAGATCTGTCAATCCGACAGATATCAAAATCCTTTTTCTATTTGTAAAGATCGCTACCAATGTTACACTGTCCTTCTAATACCGACAGACATCAGTACACAAGATTCTTTTTTTTCCTGACTGCTTACTAACGGGAAAAACGCATAGTTTTCTCAAAAAAAAAGGCACTTTAACCAGATGTTTGCATAACTGAACAGCAAGCTTTGCTATAGCAGTGAACTAGCGCAGCACTTGCGTCCTGCTCACCCACCTAACTTCTGCGGTCCTGTCCCCACAGACCCTCCCCTCATGGCTGCCTCAGCGGGCTCGCAGCCGCCAGCGCCGAGCGGAAGGGAGGGAGCGGCCGGGCCTCAGCCGCGGCCGCCTCCCTCAGACTGCTTGTCCCCGAAGGAGGTAGGAAGCGCCCCGGCAGGCGGAGATCTACGCCCGAGCACAACATCGCGACGCACCAGCTCGCTGCGGCAGTCCAGCTCGCGCTCGAGCTCCGCCACGCTCAGCCGATGTACAGGAGGCTCCGGGCACGGGTCGGCCTCCGCTCCCGTGGGGCAGGCACCCTGCTCCGGCGCCGCGTCCATCACCGGGCCTGCGAGCGCCGCGGCGGTGACAGCGCCAGGCCGGCACCGGCGGAACTCGAACCCGCGTCCGGAGACGCCCCCTGCCTGCGCAGGCGCAGCCCGGCGAGGCCACCTTCCCAGGTGCCGGCCTTAAAGGGGCCGAGGTGCCTGCGCTATCGAGAAAGAGACAGAGAACGGCGGTGGTGGTGTCGCACAAAATCCATGTGTTTATTGGGAAATCCCACGTCTGCTCCACGACAACGGCTGGGAATCAACAGGTGCCTTAGCCTCCGAGGGAAGGAAAGGGGAAAAAAGTTAGTAATAGGTAAAGAAATGAGAGATCAAAATTCATTACATCCCTTCCAGACCCACGGTGCCTTAGCTAAAGCCCAGTGGGTTTTGCTGCAATTTCCAGCATTTTGGGAGCCAGCACGTGGTGTGCGCAGCGGCAGACTGCAGCTGCGTCCCAGCAAAGCCAAAGCGAGTGTCACTGTAGGTTAGAAGTCTGGTGAGAGGCAAAAGCCTTTGGGAATATGTGGCTAATTTTAGACAAGGCAAGAGCTGGTGTAATAAGATTTGGTGCCCAAACGTGTTTTCTTCTAAAAGCCACTTGGAACAGCTGAGCAGCATGTGCAGCTAGTTCAGTATTTGTTATTAAAGACAGAAGAAAGCCCTCACCAAGCTCAGGGGAAAGGTCAGTACTGACAAATGCAGTTTAAACCATTGGAAGGATAAATAGTTCAATGGTATCAGGCACCTAAGCTACCTTGCTTTCTTATTTGTGCCTACAAAGACTGTTTCAAGGTGATATATCCTTAGTATTGCTCTGTTAGAGAGTGGGGAAGAGCACGTGGTGCCCATTTGGAGGAATGTCCCCTCCAGCACTCAAGGAGCAGCAGCAGCTGAATCATCATTTAGGGTTCCAGCTTTAGCAAATGCAGATGCTAAGGGCAAAAAAGAGCATCCTACAGCTGTACCTACCTCACCTATTTAGCCTTCCACTGTTCCTGAAGAACAGCCACTTTTCCCTCTTCTTTGGAGAAGGCTCTGTCTTGTACCTAGCAGTAAGAGCATGTGCATAAGCAAGGAACATCCTGAGCATCCTCTTGCCTTCTAGGAGGGCATCTGCCAGGCAGGTCCCCACTTTCCACCTCAGCAGCCCAGACAGGGCTTTGAGCAACCTAATCTAGTGGAAGGTGTCCCTGCCCGTGGCAGGGGGTTGGAACTGGATGAGCTTTAAAGTCCCTTCCAACCCAAACCAGTCTGGGGTTCTACTATAGAGACCTGCTAGAGATGCTGGAATTAGAAACTGATTTGGAAGGCAGCTTTAAGGAATACCATAAATGCTATGGGTAGGTGAAGAGGTGAAAAGAAGTCACAGCAGAGTTTCCCTTTCATCCTCTAGAGCCGGATGATATGCACTCCTTTTACCTCTTGTCAAGAGCACCGAAGTTTTAAAAACTGCAGTCACCCTATCCAGGTTCCTCCACCCAGGTAGGCTCCACAGGCTTGTGAACGCTCAAACAATGTAGTAACTGGATTTCAGAGTCAGTTCAGACGAAAGGACAGGATTTTTGCAGAGAAGTGACTCCGCTTTAGAGCTATGCTGGCAATGGGGAACTGAACCTTTTCTCTGGTGTGCACATCTGCAGGTAAAGGATTTATTGACTTACTACCACACGCTGTCTTCCATGTTCTAAAACCTTCCTTTCCACAGCCAGCTGTTCAAGGATGGTCTTCTGCAGCAATGGTGCATTTGCTCCTCTTACTGCAGCTACTAATTCTCCTCCCTGAAAGGTGTGAAATCTGTCAGTATGTGCTCCAGTTGTGCCCTCTGAGCTCTAGAAATCACCACAGCAGCACATCATGTATGGTATTATGTACCAGTCTCTCCACCCTAACAGAGCTGTTCTGTTCCAGAACAAGAAAACTTTGGAATTAGCTTCTTTGTCATTATTACATTATTCTGTTTCTTCGTGGTAAACTCTGGCTGTGTGTTGTTATCCATGTAGCACTTGATCACCAGCAGATACTGGCATATACAGAGCAAATAAAATTGTCCTGCACACACATGAAAGAAGAGTATCCCTCAAAACAGTTGTTCCCACTGGTAAGTCATGTTTATTGCTATGCAACTACTGTAAAAAAATATTTTCACTCACTGCATAAAACAGAAAGACAGGCTCGCATTTTCCTCTGTATTTTTCCAGACTGTCAATGGAATCAACTTCAGCCTAAAATGAATGGAAAATAAAACAGGTGTTTCTAGAAAAGCATTTCTGCTTTGGAGGAATACCCATGTTAACCACCTGGGCTCAGGCATCCCCAGCTGGCTGGCACTCATCCCCCACATAGAGCAGAACAGCTCCACATCCCATTCTTATGGGGCAAAATGACACTCGTCAGAGCCAGGGCGACAACCAACTCCCAGCTCACGATCAGTGATGAGAAGCCAGCAGATTTCACTCACAGCTCTTGTGGGGCAGGGACATCTATCTCATAGCAGCTTACCCTAGCAAATCCCAGAGAAAAAGCCTGAAAGAATGAAATCAAGCCCTTTTGTCTACAGGGAGTGAGAGAAGAGACTGGAGGAGCTGTGGTGGCAGCAGCAGCAGTAGGCTGCATAGAGTCCTGGGCAGGAGCTTCTATGAGAAACCTCATTGCCCATGGCTGTCGGCAAGTAAAAGCTGGCCTTCAGCAACGAAAGGCATTTAAAGACAGAATCACAGCATGGTTGAGATAGGGAGGGACTTCTGAAGGGCTCTAGTCCAAGGCCAAGACTCTGCCTCACAGCAGGGCTAGTCTGAATGCAATAGGAGGTTTCTCAAGACTGTGTTAATTTTGAGAATCTCCAAGAATCAGTGCTCCATAGCCTCTCTGGGAACTAATCCCAGTGTCCAGCCGCTCCTACACTGAATGAATACTTTTTCCTTCTATCTACTTGTATTTTTCCCTGCTGCAACTTGATCCTGTTGTTCTTTTGCTGCGCATCATTGTGAAGTGCCTGTCTCTGCCTTCTCTATTTATACCCTACTAGACATCTGTATCTTAAGTGTTCTCCAGGGTGAAAAAACCCAGCTCCTTCAGACTCTCCCTGTACATCAGAAGGACATGCATGTTAATGATTCTCTTTAGCATTACTTGCTTAAGCAGAAATCTGAAAAGTACAGAACACTTGAAGCTTGAAAATTCTTATTGATCTGGATTCTTACTGATGTAGCCAAGTGTCTGTATTTGGCAGGCTCATTCTCACAAGCTGGAACTCCTGGACTGTTAGAATTTTAGCTCAATATTGGAAAGATAAAATGGCTTTAGCCTTTAGCTACAAGCTGTTTTCAGGGGACTAGGTATTTTAAGCAGTGCCAAATTAGTCCTTACCACAGCAAAATGCAGGAGATCACTGCCAACTTCATTCCTTATTTTTTGGAAAAGATCCACTACTGTTTTGCATGGACCACACCAGGCTTGATACACATCAACAACTGCAAGCAGAAAAATTAGTAAGAATGAGGTCAAAATGGGTCAGTTTAGACACAGACCATTAAGTTGGTTTTGGCATTTTTCCACTTTGCAACATAAGCATTTGGAAGGGCACTGCAGAAGGGTGCCAGTGCAGTAAGAAGAATCTTGAAAACCTCTGAGGACTGAAGTCCTCTTTGGTGACCTCTGGAGCACCACCCTGGGGAAGATTAGCCTCATGTCCAATCAGAATTTCCCAAGCTGCAACTTGTGGCTGTTGCTCCTAGACTTCTGTCTAGAGTGTGGCAAGACCCCTGTTGAATGCTAGAAAGGCTATAGATTCAATTCTGAAGTAGAAACTATTATCCTCTGTCAGGCTTCAAATGCTAGATCTGAGAATCAAATCACATTATAAATAAACAAGCTAATAACAGTAATATAGAGGAGTCTTTAGAGGAAACATTGACATGTCCCTCATAAATGATGAGGGCTACAACCTCCAGCTAGTCACACCTCTATTAGCATATTTCTTTCATTCAGGGCCAGAGGAGTAGAGGAACTGACTGAACGTCCGTATCACTAGTAACTGACTCCTGATAGTACTGGTGTCTTTTTAACACAGAACAAAAGCAATCTATTATATTGATCAAACCCTTACCAATGAGTCCTTTGAGACACAGCATTTCTTCCCAAAGCTCCTGGCTATTGATGTTAATCTGTGTGAAAATTTAAAAACACAGTAAAAGCAATGGTAAGTCATCACCCTGACTGCTGCAAATATCTTGACAAATCACTTCAAGCTTGCCTGATGTTACCTGAGCACTCAAAACTCTTTTTGACTGCAATTCTTTCACCTTTGACCAGATAGGCAAGGCCAAGCTGTGCTAGAAAGTGTGTGGAAGACCTCAGAGAAAAAGCAGCTGAGAAGTCAGATATTCTCACACCCAAACTCTCATTCGTTCCTCCTTTCCACATGCTCTTGCTACTACCTGATGCCAGCTCCAAGACAGCCACCAGTAAGCCAGCTAACTCTAGAAAAGCTTATTAGAGACTCACAAGAACCAAGGAAAGACAGATAGAAACGGTAACAGCATCCAGCCAACAGCAAGCCTTCCCCTCTTTAGTGGCAGTAATTACTTGAACAGCCTGGTTACCTGGGGGCCCCACACTCTGCAGTGAGACTAAGTCACCTCCTGTTCTGAGGGGTGACTGGGGATGTGGTCCCTTGCAACCCAACAGGACCTCTGGATGGCTGACCGGAGCCCCAGTTTATCCTACCAGGCTGTGCTATGGCACAAGAGGGAAGGTCTGAAATACCTGTACAACCTCAGGTTTTTCCTGGCACCCTCCTGCTTTTATGGCAACAAAAGTCTTTCTGGGGCCATGCAGCAAGATCTGAAAGCATGGAAGGGCTCCAGATATTCCTCCTGTGCCTTGGCTTATCATACAGCCCTGCAAATGTGCTGCTACCAGGAAGAACAGCAAGGCAGCAGGTCTCAGAGACCCTGAGCTCCCTACCACAGCACTTTGCTACAGGAGAAACACAAAGAGCTACTTTGCTTTCACTTAAATGGAAGTCTGATATGTAATGATGTTTTAACACAGGCTAGCAGCTAACACAGTTTAGAGCCACTGGCAAATAACTGGACCAGTTCTCTGCAGGCTGCCTGGGTCACGCAACACAGGCTTGGAGGAGAGCCACACACAGACACCACTAGGTTGCAGAGACCTCCTATCAGAGCCAGCATGGTGCTCAAAAGCAGTGCAAGGTTGTGGCCTGGGCTAACCTGAGCATTCAGAGTGCTACTTCAACATGCTCATCTCCAGCACACAATCCTACTTTCCTCACACCTATTTCAGACCCCGTTCTCATCCCATTTTACAAGGGATGAGAATGATGATTCTCCACAAGCAGTTTCTCACGTTACCTGCACACATGCTATGCTACTTCCTTAAGATGTTTCAGGTGTTTCTTGATAAACTAGTAAATACGCAGCTTTCACAATGTCTGGTCACTAGAGGGTGATCTGAGCTCATCATGTCCTTACCTGAATTACCAGCTGCTACTTAAAGACTTCCAAAACATAGTGAACAATAGAGATTTAGGCTGGAAGAGGTCTATGGAGTCCTTAGTCTAATCCACTGCTCAAAGGTCAGTATTAGAGCAGATTGCTCAGGAACTTACCCAGTCAAGGATGCCCTAGACAATCCCATATTGTGCCACATGCTATTTTATCCCATGTTTCCTGTTATTAGAAAGGGAAGTATCTTCAGCATCTTTCCTATCTTACAGGACTTGCCCTGTAGTATGTACTTAGAAAAACACAGTAAGATTAAAAAAAAAAAAAAAAAGCTCCTTGAGAAATGTAAGATCTTCTGGTTTTGTTCATCCTGAACAATGAGGATTCCTAATAACTTTCACAGTTGGCATCATAAACCCTAACTACATTTAGTCTACATTGGAAGACAGTAAGTTTCAGTAAGACCAGTGATTTTACAATAACTAGCACCAACATTTCTAAAATTGCAAAGAATACTAAGAGTGGAAACTCCAGTGCAAATTAAATGGCCTCATACAGACTTCCAGAGTCCAGCATCTCCCAGAGAATGACGAGTTGGTCCAACACCTCCATCCGTTCTCTTTAACACATGTCCCCAAGCCTACTTTTATTCAGAGAACACCTGCAGAATTAAGTAATGTAATGATTCCAGTTACCTCTAGTGCTGGGACCACCCTCGGAGTGTTTCACAGAACATTAATGAATTCAAATGATTTCAGATAATAATTTGTGATAACGAGTTAAAGCCTGAGTTGAACTGATAGATTGAGGTACCCTTCAAAGTGCTTTGCTAATTTCGATGCCCTGAGGTTGCTAGGACTTGGCTCTTCTCTAATACAACGAGAACCTTTCCAGGACATCACATTATGTCTTACACAAAGTTCAGCTTTCATCTGCAGATGTGATCATATTTTTGCAAATCTAGACCTAGCTTTCCCTTAGTTGCAAAAGTTGCAAAGCCTGCTTGACGTTTTCTGCATGGCACAGGAATACAGCTAGACAAACAGCAGGGGAAAGCAGTTTTACCTTAACAGTGATCCTTTCTGTCTTATAGAAATGCTCACATTTGCACTCCATGCTTTCCAGTTTTAACAGTGAATAAAGAAGGTTATAGAGACCATAATCTCCTTCCATATTTCTCTCTTGCAAAGACTGAGCTTTTTTTTCAAAATTTTAAGACCTTCATAACTACTTTTGGTTTTTTTTTCAATGTCTTTGCATATGAAACTATTCTCCGAAATACTCTCTCCCCTATGCAGGTAATTATAATGCATCATTAGGTCACTTGTGCAGTGTAAACAGGAAGAAATTCATCTACTCACCATTGTGAAATAGATTTTTCAGCCTTTGAATTTTTTCTTGTACCTCCTAACTTTTCTTTCATTACAGTGATTTTTCTAAGTATGTGAACTGGTCAGATGCTCAGTGACAATTGCCCTTCAGGAGAAATGCTCCCTCCCCCAGTTCCCTACTTCTGAATGGCTTCTGAACCATTGTCCCATGAAACACAGACGCATTTTGATCTATGAAAGTAGCCAAACCTGTGCCAGCTCTTAACAGCTCTGGAATACAACCTGCAGCCCCATAGCAACCTCCCTCTGCACACCATAGCACTGACCCTGAGGACAGGTTTGACTTGCCATGTTTTCCCATACTTCCTACCTGCCTTCAGGAAGGTTTTTCCACCCCAGAAACCTCACAGCAGGGCTTTGCCAGGAGAATCTGAAATATCCCAAGACCGAACTTCATCCTTTGCACATACTATGAGTTTAAAAGACACTTTAAAAGCCTGGCTCCTACTGACCTGCAGTACTACTTCCTTCTTCTTTGCAGCCATCCTTCTGCAGGAACAAGGGTCTTCTGAGCAGCAGTCCCAAGTGCAAAGCACTGCAGATGTCCTCTAATTACATGAATCCAGTTGCTGTTCAATCTGCACCACAGAGAAAGCTTTTTACGTGTCTTTGCTCCTCCAACCCACCACATACAGCCTGACAACCCTGCCCTTTTGGAAGGGAGCAGTGTTGGCTCAGCAGTGTCCAAAGCCTGGACACAGCTTTGGTCACACCCTTTTCACAGAGGCAGGGTGCTGCTGCTAGCCCGAACTTGCCGTTTGCTTTCAGCAGCCTGTCCCCACACAGGGCCCATCAGTACCTGTGCAGCAGCTGGCAGCACCCCAACGCTGCTATGGCAGCACCCTAACGCTGCTATGGCAGCCATGGCAATGCCAGGGGGAGCGGAAGCCAAGCCCAGCCCGCCCCACTCTCTTATCGAAGTCCCCTGCAGACAGGAAGTTCAGCTCGGTCTTCTCGAATTCCCATTCATGCAGCAGCAGCTGCAGTTGGAGCCTCTCTGCCTTCCCTTTGTCTGTCAAACCTGCCCAGCTCCCCACAGCCCTGCCTAGAACCCAGGAGAGGCGATGAGCTGCTGGCCCTACTCCAAAGGCAGCTCAGGTTTTGAAGGTTGGTTGGTTTTAACCTTATTTGCAGTGAGAGGCCAGTGCTGTGCCCAGCACACCCCAGGACGATGTGCTTTTGAGCACGGCTGCTGCTCAACTCGTCCCTTCACATGCCTGGGGGGGGGGTCACTGGGCTCCAGATGCAGACACATAATGTCTGGTAGCTTGGTCCCCCAGCTGCCCAAGGTCTCTGCTGCTTGAGGATTTGGCTTTTGGCACGTCAGCTCTCCTAGTGCCCCTGGCAACTTAAGGTGACATTGTCTAGTACCTGCAGGGGACATGGTTCTGCTGAACGTTGGCAGGGGCTCCCCTGCCTCCAGCACCAGCTCAGCAGAGCAAACTGCACCCTGGATGCCCCCTGCATCTTTCTTTTTGTAGGAATAAGCCTTCAGTAAAGTCCAGATGATTTTAACCGCTACTGAAATTTTGCATGTTTACACATATGTGCTTACACTTTAGGATTACCAAAGACACTCCTGTTAAACCCATTTTCTGGTCTTCAAGAATCTACTTTCATTCACCTCAATTATTCCTTCCTCTGCCTGTTCTGTCACTGCTTCAGCAGTTTCGTGGAGGTGCAGCACCTAATGCAATTAGATCTACTGCAGGTTTAAGTCTGCAAGAACAAGTTTTAAAAAATGAGATGTTTTCCTTAAGAATATATTGGCACAATATGCTTTTAAGCAGATCATTTGGCTTCTTTCATAACTAAAATGCAAATCTGTGATATAAACAACAGCCAAATAAGTCTCATTTGACTTTCTGAGTGGGAGAGACCACTACCCTGACAACTAGCATGCCAAACTATTCGTTTCTTTTAACACATGTAACCTTTGAGAGAAGCACTACCGCTGCTGGACACTGATACATAGACTTGACATACTTATCAAAATTAAGACTGCTTTTTAAAAGAGAAATGGCACAAGAACAGCAGAAATCCTGGTGATTGGTATTATGCCAACTTGAAGAACTTTGCTTTGGTTCTGCAAGCAAATACATAAGTAACTCATAAGATGCTGTTACCTAAATGAAGTCGGTAAAGATCTGGCTGACCAGCAAACAAGTTTGTTCCCACTGTGAATCTCAGGCTAGCAACTGTCAGTCTGCAGAGAAGCTGGCACAGAAAGCTGAGGTTTCTCCATGAAGCTGAGAAAAATCTAGATGTTCTGGTAAAGTTCTTTTATTTACAGTATTCTTTTTGTACATATCTATAGCGACATCAAAAATTATTCACAAAGCTTAACTGAATGTAAAAATGTTCTCATCCAACAGTTTGTCCTACCAATATCTGTGGAAAATGCCAACTGCTCTCATGCAGAAACACGATTGTCTGAGCACTGGTTTTTACTGTTTCTGGAAGAATTTTAGGAAACCACCTTGAAACATGTACAGAGATACTTACCTTCTTCTGAACACCTTTAGGCACCGGAATGTTATAGAAGCAAACTCAGATTTGTTTTTAGAAACATGAACTGGGGGAGGATGAGAAGAGGTATGTAAAAACTTGAGCTCCTAAACACACATAGCAGGAGTGCAAATGTGGAAGTCAGATGCATGCTGTACAGTTTTGTGTTTACAGTATCTGCTTTTGGAAGGTCTTTTTCCCCACGTCAAGCAAAAAATCTACTTGATTGACTTTTGTGAAGAAGACTTCACTTCTGAGATACTGGTATTGATCAAGTTCTCACATATTTTTACTTTTGCTTTTGTTCAGCCCCCAACGTCCATCATGGAAAATTTGCAGAAGGACATTAAAAAACTGCCAGTCACTTACTGCTATGTCTAGGAAAAAAGTGTCAGGTGCTCACTTTTATTTGTCTTTCAAGGATGGAAGAAGTTACATGAAATGCATATATTGTCCTTTGCAACCAAGTGATAACAGTTATCTGATACATAGCACATTCAAATTCCAGGCCAAACTGTTGTCACATTTTCTGACACAAGTAGTTACCTTGGAAAAAAGTAAGGCTATCACAATGTGACCTTCTGATTAGAAATAAAAGACTAAGATACTTATCAAAATTGGTTAGCAAAGTTACAGACCTCTCTTCTTGCTGCAGCCTTTCTGAAGTTGAGTGTAACAAAAGGAAGATTTGGTTTAAGACATCGGCTGCTACCTTTAGTGTGCTAGTTAGTGCTATGTAAATACAGTGCTTGGAGATTCTGACTACTAGAACTATGGCCTAAACTGAAATCAGAAAGTGGACACAGGAAGAAAGCAAGAACCCTGAACTGCATGAAGGAGAGCTCCTTGCTGCCCACCTTTGTTCCTATGTATATTTGACTGGGTTCTCATCATATTCCAGCCTAACCTTACACAGTTGTCTTTTTCTGTATTTTTTTTCTCCACACTTACAGGCATAATTTCAGGAACTTATGAACAATCTAGGCTTCTGAATGCAGTAAAATCCCATCACTTATTATCCAGGTATCCAAATCCATGCAAGTGTGTATATCTGCATATATACAGAAAATCTGTAGCAACATTACTCAACTAAAAATAAAACAAAACAAAACCCAAAACCCCCAAAACCAAACCACCAAACCCAATTTTTCCATCCCTTCCCCAACTTAATGCACCCAGCTGATCTTTCACTGAAGTAATTTGTAAGTCACTTCATTATATCTGGAGGCAAAGGATGCAGAACAAAAGCAATCCCTTAATCACTGCTTGCCAGCTCCTTCTGGCCTCTTGAAAGTACAACTTCTGCAATATAGTGTTTGCTCTACTGCTATTCATGATTAGCAAAAAAATAAAAAATTAAAAAAAAAATCACCAGTGAAATAGGCCAATCCTTCAGCAATTATCTGAGCAAGTTCTTGGCTACTAAAGCAATAGCTTATGCCTGCCAATATTGCCGCCACCTGTTCCTTTCCAGACAAGTCAACAGTCATGCAAACTCTGAAGTATGAGCTTTTCTTCTGAAAACCAAAGAAACCCAAAGCAATCCCGTTCACCCATTCCATGGATTTGAGCATGTCATCAGTACCAGGTGACCTTGTACGGTAGCAAAAACCTCTTGGACCTCATGAGTACAGAATGCACTGCTTATAATTTAGGGTCTACTATCTTGCTCTACTTTTCTTTTTAAAAAGGAAGTATAATGTAAGTTAAGCTGAAGTTCAGAAATGCATATATTTTACTTAAAAACATTCATCTGCTCAAAATTCAAAATAAACTTTATGGGATACAACAGTTTGGTTTTTCTTTTTAAATAACATTTCATTCAAACTGTATATAATTCATTGAAGTATTCATACAGCAAACAATGGTTAATCCTTGAAAACCTGTAGAAAAAGATTTTCACACACACACAAAAAAAGGAAAAACGAAACTGAGGTCTCACACTCGCACACATTCACCCAAGCACACACTCGAGCACATCCTCGCACATCCACACACAGGCTGCAGCAAAAGCAGAAAATTGTAGGCCCAAAAGGAAGGTGATGACTGATTGTTCTATCCGGAAGTCCAGGTAGCTCAGGGAAAAAAAAAAACAAACAACCAAAACCCCAAAAAATACCAAAACAACCCCCCAGGAGTCCTCTGAGTAAAGAAACTACCTCAAGAAAATTCTCAAGTGCACTGGAGACCTGATCATTTAAACTGTTTCTGCAAAGCAGCTCCCTGCACCTGAGAAAAACGCAGCCCAAGGTGACTTGTGCAAATACAAGGAGTCAGGAATATCTCCTGTTATTCCTTAAGTAGACATGAGGGGTGTCCATAGATTCAGTTAGTCTTTGATCATGCAAGATACTGCTGGAGTGCTGTCTTCGCCCTGCAATAAAGGAACAACCTGTCAGTTATTGGGGTTTGGCTTTATCAGCAACAGCTTTATGTACAAGACTGTACAAGACATACAGGATGAACGAGTGAGGTAAAAGGAAGCCGCACGGCTGCCTCCTTCAGTTTGGAAGGATCGAGCCCATGGTGCAGAAGTGTTCTGCATGGGCTGTAACCATTTATGAATCCACCCTGCATCTAAGAATAACATGGTCTATCCAAGTATATAGATGCTCAGCCCAACTGAGCAACTTTTAAGCATGGTGGGGCTCAAGATGTATATTGAACCTCGTTATCAACACACCTTAAGAGCAGTAATTGTGAAAAATAGTTACTTTTCTGAAATACATATGTACCATGAAAAGTAGGTCTTTGACCTGGGAAATGAAAGAGGTGTCATAACTCAGAACATATTACAAGCAAATCAGTCTTGTCAGGAATGCCATCCCTGACATATAATGTATGTTGAAACATACCATGATGTGAAAGGGAGAAAAGAACCAACAGTCACTGTAATACTGGAATTTATGTAATCTAACATTGTGCAACATTTCTGTTAAGAAAAAAACACCTCCCAGAAGTCCACGGTTACAGTTTCATAATAATCACTTCAGTTAATTCAGTGTTTCCTATCACCTGAAGTGAGCAGCTTTGCTCTTCTTTTGTCTCCCACACTTCCCAGCCATGCTATCATGATCCTGACAGACTTTCCTAAGATCCAATACAACTCAGTGACTCTGAGGGAGATCACTTATTTTTTCTTCCAAGTTTCCTGCTGCCCTTGCAAGCTGTATCAGCTCATCACGAGGGCTGATGAGGCTGAGTTTGGACAGGGTAAACATCCAAACATCTCAGGTAAACCTGGGAGCAGGTGGCCAGAAGAAACAGGAGACACTGTCTTGGGACAGTGCTAAGCACAAGCAGCTCCATGTCTCTTAAAAACAAGTCTTACACGTTGACAAGCAAGGCCCATTTACCAGGAGGTATTTTTACTGGTAGAAGTTTTATTCCTATTTCTCACTGTTTGAAAACCTTATTTAATTATTCCATAACTTTCTGTAAGCCTGCTTGTTGATATCTATTTGCTGCTGGTTATCACCTTCAATAGTGATACTTCATCACAGACTTTTAAGCAGAAGTCCTAACTTTACTACAAAGTTGTCCAAGAATGCTAAGAGTATCTTCCATAGAAACAAGAAACCAAAATCTAAAGATTTTTAAATACTGTACAGTTTGTAGTTGTCTGTGTACGACCTCTTCCGAAAAACAGGTCATCTCCTTTAGTTCATGAAAGAAGTATGGGTCATTACTAACTGTAGATCAGATAACTGCAAAAAGTTACCATAAAAAAACAGAAACTTTCATTAGCTATTTTGGTTATTTGAAGAAGTTAGATGATCTGTGTAGATACTTTGAGTGACAGAACAGGTATGTGAAAACTTACTGTTGAGCTTAGTTAGTTTAAAAGAATTTGAGATCAACAACAGTGCTGATCCTGTATTACCTTTTTAATTCAGTGTTATGTGATTGTTCACTATTGTTGCAATCCTCTGGAACTTTGTTAGTAACCCAAGGTTTACACAAATATTTGTGTATCAGTGAGATATCAGTGAGATTTCAGAGAGGACTTTCCACTGGTTTAGAAGACCTTATGTGTAGTTATTTTAGACTATTGAGAACTGCAGTAAAATTTGCTACTCCTGAGCAATACAAAACCTGTTCCTTAAGTACTCGTCATTATTTCTTTCTATACCATAAAACTTAGTGCAATAATAAACAGCTTTTTTTCTGGGGATTTTTTTTTAATAATCAAGATATAAAAAAAAAATCTTAATAAAAGCAAAGATTTCCCTCTAATCATCTTTTTTGATTTCTTCTTTATACTCACTTGTCACACAGATTTGGATCTGATGACTGACTCAATTTATGTAGAATATCTACTATTCCCATGTCTCGTAGTTTATCTTGGCGTTCTTGTGAACCTACAATGATAAATCACATTGTTGGGAACACCACCAAAAATAAATGTCTACAGAACAGAAGAAAGGAGTGGTTGTAGAAACCAGCTTAAAGGAGGGGTATGGAACACAGTTCAGCTAGAACACAGCAACGGAAAAACTTCACTGCAGCTACTTCCCAAAGGAGTTGTAGTTTCTTTTTTTTTGTACTCTTGGTGCATATATTTAAAGAAAATAAAATGTTGAAGGCAAAAATCTGAACACATTTTATCCTAAAGTAAGAAGCTTGACTTTAGTTTGTTTATTCTCATCTCTCTGATTTGGATGGAGAGAACATTTAACTGGAGGTGCGTTTCTGAGTCTGTCTTGTAGCACTGTACAATTCCAGTATAATGAGCAGAAAGCCAGCAGGAACACAGCTGTTATCTGTCGAGTATCAAACACTGAATGAAGTTCTGTGATCTGAGAGATGTGGAATGAAGTACATAGTTGAGGTGGGGACAGGGAAGACACTAATCAAAGCCAAGTAGAGACACTAACTTCTTTGCTGAAGAGCAGCACAGTCAACTTGAGGGTTTTGAAATCATCCACCTCAAAGTCCTCCTCCCAGATTCACCATTCCACAAAGCATACCACCTCCCACCACTCCTTCCCTTGCCATTTCTTCTAGCTCCACACTGCTGACTCCACCTCCCCTCTCCGCCCCTCAACACAAACACATGTATTTTTCTCTGCAGCAGCAACCTTCAGCTCTCTCCTGGTTATTTTTCACTGTTCCAGGCCATGACTCTACCAAATGCCTTCCCCATTCCTTCCAGTTCCAACCACAAGCCTTTTGACTGGTTTCGGAGTCTCACCACCCAACCCATTCAAACCATACATACTG